ACCAAAGTTAAGAAAGGGAGTGAAAGGCCCTGAGGCACACGTTATCAATGTTACAATGCGTGGAAGAACGAGGTATTAGATGTTTATGTGAAGGTCCTGAAATAAATGAGTTTTCCCCCCGACGCTGGAAGCGGGCGGAATTTATCGTCGAACTTATCATAAGATCGCATTCAGGAATGAAAATAGTAAAGGAGCTTACAAATTATTTACACTGAATTTAGAGACTAAGGTAGGTGATATTATCTTCTGCAACAATCCATTTCACCATTACTATCCCAATATGTTGATGATGAATCATGGAAAATCCGGAGAAAATTGGTGTTCCAAATGATGCTAAAACCTTAAATTGATACCGAAATGGCGAAGAAGAATGCATCTAGATCTGTTTCTTTTTTCAAATGCAATATGTGTAGGTAGGATATAGGTATATGCAGCATTTTAACCGATAAAATACATTATTTTAAGTTACACCGGCGAATAGTAATCAAGCAAACCTGTTCTTTGGGAGTGACCAAATGAATACGAAAATTAAATTCTTGTAAAAGATTAAAAAAACAAAACGTATATATTTTGCAGTGTAGGGATAATAAACATCCGAATAACGTTATTATTCGTTTGATTAATTTGACACAGGACTTGGTGTAATATTATTTATTTTATGAACGGCGTAAAAAATGCCGCTGATCACGGATTGCAGTTAATAAGCATTTAATGTGCCTATTATGCCTTTTTCGGATAGGAATGTAGGAGCGTAGGTGAAGAATTAAGAAATACAGGCATCCAATAGTAAACAGATGTAAGATGATAAAGATGTACAGATGGAGAAACAAATATACTGAAGATAAGTATCTTTTTATTAATTTCTTTATTAATTTCATTCTGAAATTTATTGGCGTTACAGATTGCGAATAGCTGGATAAACAGGAATAGAAAGATCTACAATTAGTTATCATGTAACATTTTGCAAATTTTAATTGGACCACCCCAGTAGTGAGTAACACTATCAATATGCGGGTTCATATACCGTTAAGCGTTCGTTTAGACCCTTTTAAATTATTCAAAAATTTTACGTTTTAGGAATTTGATGAAGCCACCGCCTAACATTTTAAAACGTGAAGTTGATGAAAGGTTTACGATCTAAAATATTTGAAGTATCATGTTTCGCTTATATGGAAACAATTTTTAGATCATGTTATCTAAGATAACAACAGTATAATGTGGAAAAGCTCATATTTAGAAGAAGGTATTTCGCAATTGCCTAAACAAGTTTACAAAAAAATAGTTTAAAATCCCAGAAGTTGCTACGGAGTCCAAGTTAACGTTAGAAGCATCTCAAAGTAAAATTTACCCAAGGTAGAACAAACAAAAATTAAGTTGTTCTTATAAATATCACAATTTTGCACTCACCTAATTTTACTCAACGATGTTTTTCTCAAAATCTCAACGACTGCTCGAGGAAGGAAAAAAACGCGTAATTTGGCGTAAAACGTAACTTCAACCTCCAACCTGCCAGTACCAATACCAACACGCAATTCGCAGGGCTGCCACTGCATTCCGCTGGTACACAAGCTCGTCATAAACACGTAATGCGCGGAAGAACATAGGACGTCGAATTGTACATGCATAAGACGCTCTTAATTTGTCCAAGACTTAATTTTAAAAATACTCAGATCTGCAGAACTAATCATGTATGTACATTTAACGTACGTGCACTGACAAACAGTGGATGTACCATATTTACGTACATAGGACGGATTTAACTCGTCCTTGGACGAATGTACAATGTGGGTCATAAAGGTACGTACATAAGGCGTACAGTGCTATCTGGATAAATATAAGAACAAAAAATCTGATTTCAAATCCAAACCATAAAACCGCGCTCTTTCAGAGATCGTTTAGTTATAATGCACCTAAAATATATAACTATCTCTCTTCTGTTTTAAAATCATTATCACAAAAATCCTTCAAGGTTAAAAACACTATTAACAGCAACAACATCAGTTGAGCTCTTAATATTTATGCGGACCCTTTTCTTAATATGATCGGCGTGAATTTTTTCTTTATTATTGCTAATTTGTTTGATTGTTTAATTTTTTTCTTCTATTTGTCTCTCATTTTCAATTTATCCTGTGAACTTTTTGCCATTATGACTAATCAAGATAAAATAAAAAAGCAGGGTTAAGTGGTAGAGCAGATGGTAGTGCAGTATTACACTACCATTCTGAACTTCGCCCTTTTGGTTTAACGGTGTTGGTGCCTTTTTTAAGTTATTTTATTTTATATTTCTTATTTTGTTTCCGTTATCCCGATAAATGACGAGTACCTATTATTATTAAAAGTACTTATGAATATGCCAGTAATAAGTATTCGTATGAAACTCCATTATGGACGAAGCAGAACGTATTATAGAGGAAATGTTAATTAGAGGACCCCCTTCTAGTATATGCTACGACACAAGAGCCCTTTAGCACGAAATGAAGGAGCAACATGCGCAGCTGAGGATCGAACTGCATACGGTACTCCCTCCAAGGAAGAATTAAATCGAAACGTAGAGAGCAACAGCACACTAATAATAAATTTGTATCGTGAATACCTAAATAAACACTTAATAAAGCAACATAAAGGCATAACCACCTGTACAGTATAACACGGTTCAGATAACGGTACTCAAAACAAAAGCTTGATGTACGCCACGCTTGGTTCTTTACATTCCCCGAGACATTCCCTGTTCCTCGGCAGCTGCGCAGAACGGTCATAGTCGAAGATTTCAAGGTTGTTGTGTACTCGTACACAGAGCGTTTCGTATTTTTTTCCTATACGCATTGTTTCAGTTGTGAGGTGTGTTGCCTAACCATAGGGGTATGTTAGCATTTCAGCTTCATTATTGGTTTATGTCAAATAACTTTTATTTGTACGTAAATGATTAGCTTTGTGTTTAATGTAGCCCAAATTATGACCCAGGATATTCATGTCAAATGTTTCTATTCGTACCCCGGATTATGTCAGGTGTTAATATGCTCTTCCCAAATTTTAGCATTGGAAATGCTTATGTTTTGTATGGGTATGAATTTACCAAGTTTGCAGAGTAGAAAAGAAGACAAGTGGTATCGCGTCTAGTGTTGATTGTACCGTACTCGACTGCAATTCAGGTAGATTAAGGAAAAGTCGCGAACATGTCGATACGGTACTTACTTAACAGTGCGCAGGGGTTTTGTTATTTCGAATTTAAAATTCTCGCACAACTTCCGTGATGGTATTACACGCATGTTACGACGCTTATTATTTAGAAAGTTTACGTTGGCGACACGAGAGAACTCGCGAGCGGGTGGAGCAAGATTATTCCTTGTAAATAAGGGTTATTTACGAGGTTATTTATGGCTTTATAGGTTATACGGTTATCATTTCCAATGTCTCCGATGGTTGCAAGGATTGCGAAATCTGTGAATTTTTTTATTATATATTTGAGAAAGACGTGCTACAACAATTATTTAGAATTTGAAGATGCAATAACTTTTTTAATAATTATTATATTGCAAGTCTGCTTCACTGAGCTCATTCGGATTCAATATGTATTCTGTAGCGCGTCACTACTAAATATTGGACAGAAAACAAAAAATATTCCGAATTAATTAATTTATTAATACGTTGGATTGGGGCTGTATGGAAGAACAGGGTCTCTCGGCACTGAATGCAGTCCCTTTCCCTGTTTTTATTTGTGTTATTTGTAGAGTTTTGATTTTGTATTATGGGGAATAAATTATATATTATTATTATTGTCGGTGTATCTTGTGAGAACTCACGTCTAGCCTGGTTAACTAATCGCACGGATTAAAATCAAGTAACGATTAGTGTCTGTGTCTGTGTCTGGTGAAGTTATGTAGGGTCCTAAAAAAATAAAATAAATATAATAAAAATAAAAATAAAAATAAATAAATATTAAAATTAAAATATTATTATTATTATTATTATTATTAATAAAATACTGAACGGACCATTTTCTTGAATTCACGCAACGTTTTAAATTTTTTCCGCTTTAGACATAGCCAAACTATCTGAAACCGCACCTTCAAACAAACAAAATCTAAATCATCTTGGACGATATTTTAATCCATTTCTCGAATTATAAACCAAATTAATTACCACAACGGTAAACCACTCAACTGTCTCGACAATAACCCCATTGCCATTTACCATGAATATTCAATCAATTACCGTATTATTTAAGATTGTTGTAAAATAGTTTACTGCCGAGTTTAGTCGGATAGCGAGCACATTAATCTAATGGCGCGAGAAAAATGGCAACTTAAAGTAGTATGGAAATTATTCAAATGAAACTTTTATATTGCGATACTTAAAATGAAAGGTAAACGTGTATGTAAATGAAAATATAGTATAAGCATTAAGTACTATAATTACGCAAGAAAACAAATAATTACGGATAATAACATCTTAAGTAATTGAGGAAATAATCTAGTTTACTTAATCTTTCTAATTTTGTTAGAAACCATTAAAATTTTTACATATTTATAAAATAAGTAAGAGCCAAAGGAAATAATACCTACTATAACTTAAATCATTTAAGTGACCAGTGGAAGAAAACTATATCTACTTAGTTGATCTATATTTCTTTACTACATACAAATCAATTAAATTACGTTGATAAAAGGGAACGTAAACAGAAAATCATTTCACTGAGCTCCTTTCCTTTTTCCAAAAATCGTAGTTCTTGTGCAGGCTAAGTTGCTTGTTATAATTTACTACGATGATACCTACGTCGGATTAATTACTCGTTATCCTTCACTTAATGACGAAAAAGTGCCACCACAACCTCTTATAGTGTCATATATTATCTAGGTTTTTGTTCGTTCATTTCCATTTACGTAATTTATAAGAGTTGTTTCACCTTAATATTACGTAATATATCATTTTTCGTGACTTTATGACTTAATTGGTCATTTAAAGTAGGAACCATCTCTTAAGTAGTTTGTCTTTTGTTTCAGATCCACAAACACATGACAATAGACGAATTAAGAAGCACATTTCATGTAGAAGATCACGATTTAGGTAAGTTGCACCATATCTGATCTAATAGCGATCTAGCTAAACCAAAATGCAAAATTTTAGAATTTTTTTGGGTCTGCCTTTATAGTGGTATCTGGTCGAGGGCGTAAACCTTTGAATTTTTGTGTAAATTTACTTTAGTTTTTTGGAATTTGCTTGAGTTTGTTTGAGTTTTATTTGATTTTAAAATTTTCCATTATTTAAGGAATTTGTCGAGAAGTTATTGAATTTTAATATTTATAATTTAATATAATTTAATAATAAAATTGCTTTTAACTAGCCGTTCTGTTAACTACTTGTGGCTTGGTTTTCAAAACAATTCACCGACTCGAAAATGTTCCTTCCCGTCAATCTTATCCCAGGTAAATAACGACCCAACAATCCACTACAGTTCGTCTATCTCTACACGTATGAAAATACGTGTTCGTAGCAATTTGTCACTTGTTTAAATCTTCACCAATACGCGGAATGAAAATGTTCGCACTCAGGGAGTGTGTGATCACTCTTTTAAAGTTCAACCTCGTCTGCCGAAAAACTACCTTCCAATCCGGTACCTCTCTTAGCACACCTTTTATTGAGAAACGAAACACGTTGTTATCGCATTTTATTTCCAGACGTAATTTCGTTCCTGTTCGCTATGAAGCGGTATGTGTGTAACTTTCCCCATGCCTACCCAAAATACAAAAACATAAAACAGTCAAAATACATTCAAAAGCAATCGAAACGCTATTCTAACCGCACCTTCCAGGTCATTTCCCAGAGATTCATAGCACTACCAGAAATACTTAATCTCCATTTTCACACCGTATAGGCCCTAAGGTTCCTGCCGAGTTCTCTAGATCTGTTCAAATGTATATCTAATATTTCCTCAGAGCTTCTGCGGCCATTTTTTTGAGCATTTAGGCGGGCCCCTCTCAGAACTTTCTAGGTGCTTTACAGAGTGGTCCCTTTCTGGAGATAATTGGGTTGGTGTCTCTGAATTTAAGAGGTTGGAAAACTTTTTAAAACTTTCTTACAGATTTGTGCTTGCTTTCCATAGCATCCAGCGGCTTACCAGTGCATTCCAAAGCTTTCCAAAGAAATATAACAATTTCTTGAGCTTGCCAGGTTGTTTCTTCACATTTATAGCACCCGCACAGGTTTTTAAATACCTTGTTCGGTCATTAGGCCCTTTCTTCACAATTCAACGGCTTTCCAGAGCCTCTGTAGCAGGTTTTTTTTAGGGCTTTCCTAGGGCATTTTATTAGCGACCGAATAGATCTGGAAAGGCCCGCAATGGGGTATGAATAAAGCTATGAAAAGAACCTGAGGAGTCTGCGGACGCATAGCTTTTTGGGTTCTTATCGAGCTTTCTGGGCCAGTGCACTCTATCGCTAACCCACGACTACCCATAAGCTTTCACCTATTTTTTGAAAAGTTTATAAAACTGCTTTTAGTCTCCACAGAGCCTTCTGTGTCGTCTCTAAAGCCTGATTATCCCTGAAAAAAACCTCTCGTGCTCTGAAAATGACCTGGATATCCCTTGTAAGTTTTTACATTAACACATTCCAGGGACACCTAAAACATTCCAGAGGCTCCAAGGCTTCCACGAGCTTTCTAGTCCTGCGAAAACCTTGGTCTTTATAGCATTGCACGATAACTCCAGAACGCTTTGATATATATAAAACTTCTTTTTTTTAATTTCCACATGGATCTTCGTTTTATTTTCATAATACGGCATAGAGCTGTGGGGGTCTGCTTCAATCTCGAACATTGAAATACTGGAAAGGTTTCAATAGAAAGTGCTGCGAACTATAACCGACGCCCCATGGTTTATACCTAACAATGACATCTGCGACGACCTAAAAATGATTTCAGTCAAAGATGAAGTGAGTAAGTGTAGTGCAAAATACCTAAATAAATTAGAAGTGCATACAAATGCCCTCGCCATGAATCTCTTAGACAACAGTAATGACACAAATAGACTGAAGAGATATAAAACTCTAGACCTACCGTTCAGGTTTAACTAAATTGCTTTTCACATTTAACAAAAGCTTAAGAAACAACAGAGCTGATTATCACTCGGTATAAGTTCCTTTAAATTTTAATTCAAACCCCCGTTCCAGCAAATGTATTTGCTTATATTGTAACTTTATTTATACTGATTGCAAATAGTAATAAAACACTACAAAAAAAATTTTTTTTCTCCAACCACCTGAATAAGACGCTATTTTGTGACAGTGTTCGGTACCTAAAATTGACGTTTTGCGGATTAATCGCTTTCACCATGGCAACTGTACAAAAAGTGGATACTTTTGGTCCTAGTACCAAAAAGAAATTGACCTTGAAAGTTGGCCAATTAAAAAATTACAATCACGGAGATATGTCACATTGACATTGTTTTACATTGCAGGTTGTAAGATATTTCTATATACATACAAATCAAATATTTTTGCATATTCAATGCAAATGATGATGTTACCTATACGTATGTAGTACATGTATTGAAAATTATTTACGCTCGCTATTTTTATTTAAACCATGTATAACGTAATTTACATATTCCGTGAACGTAATTTTAATACGTATACAACCCGTCGTCGCGCGTAACGCCATCTACTTCAGACCCATTGCACTATATCTGTCAATTTTAATTCAAAATTTGAAAAAGTTAATTGCAATTAATTTTAATTAAAAAACTGTATGGTAAGTTATTTATTTCAATACAAAATATAACAATATTAATTGTTTATACAATAAAATGACTGAAACTGATAGCGACATGGATTGCACTCCGCCAGAGATTATAGAAGCGGCAGAACATGCTACCTCAAGATTTGCTCCCTACAAAGTCGCGAGAGGTGAGAAGTAAGAAGTAAGAACGAATAGGTTATAAGTTGACCTAAAAACTAGAGTGGCATGACACGTGAGGACAAGAAAGCAAAAGTTCTTATAGGTACTATAGTAGTGAAACTGTGACTGAATCTAAATTCGAATATAATTTGAAGTAAAGGAGGTTGGAGAAAAAATTTTATGTTTTATTCGTACAAAAAATGCGTTTTCGGGACTCGGAAGGTTGCTGGGCTCCGCTAACGCGTCGTCCAGCAACTATCTTCCTCGTCCCGAAAACTGACATTTTTTGTACTAATGAAACAAATAACTATTTCATAATACATTTGTACTTGAAATTCTTTATTATTTTTAACTTTGTTTTCCAAATCATGTTTCAATTCTGTCATGTTCTCTACTGTATCCTACTTTTTAAGGTTTATTCATTTTATTTTCCTTCAAATTCATTTCTTCATTTTCGCGTTCTTACTCAATTTCAATAAATTTCTTCTTTAGACTTTACTTAATTTCATTAACTTTTCTAACTTCTTTTTGAATTTTTTCCCGGTTACACACAACCCTTTCATGCGGCTTTCGTTAATCATAATTTCTGTTACTATTTTTAGCTCATCGCTCCATCTCTGTTTCGTTTAATGCAATATTTTCCTTCAATTCAGGAAAACTTTTCTTCATTTCTCCATTTTTTTTGCTTTCTAAAGGCCGATTCTCACTTGCGCTGCACTCAGCTTGCCACATTTATCAAATAGGGATTGCGTTGACATTTTATGATTTTATTAAGCTTCCTAGCTTGAGTTTTTGAGTGAGATCGCAAGTGGCTCTTGCGATCACCGTTTTTTGGACATGTTAAAATTTCATAAAATGTGTGTTTTAGATCATTTTAAGCAAATTTTAAAGAATAAATTTTTTTCGTGTCTGTATGTAATGTGCGTACGTTCGTACGTTGGCAATTTTCCGAGGTAACGGCTCGACGGATTTTGTTCAAATTTTGGATATGTATATCTATTAGGAATACTGAAACGAAAAATACAAGCCGGATTTTTGAAAAAAAATTTTGGAGCGCCGCAAGGGCATCGAACTTTTTTTTTTCAAATAGCAACCTCAAATTTTTAGTAAGTTATTCGAAAGACCTTATTTTTCTGTATACAACCTACAAATATTGTGTCAGGTTTTATTACAAAAAAACTGAGAAAAAAAATGTCAAAGTTAAAAAACTAAAAAAAAATTTCGTCAAAACGGTTATTATGATTTCGTTAAATATAAATGATGAAAGAAAAGTAGAACCTGGCCCATCTATAATTACATCTGCACCAGACCGCCGACAAAAAAGAAGGCCATTGACAACTTAATGAGGGTGTAGTGCCATATGTTAAGATATAAGTTGTAAAATGTCATTCTTATTCTTACGTGCCGATTGAATAATAGAATAAGGAAAAACACAAAAAATGAATTTAATTTTATCTCTCAGTTTTGAACCATATATAGTAGATATTTAAAAAAAACTCATTAAAAGATAATTACAGATACAAACGAAACACTACAAAATCGGCCTGGTATTTCCTCCTCAAGATTGATTTGATTTGCTCCGTGGTTTCCTTCTTTTTTTTGTTAAAACTATTAAAAATCGAATAAGAAATTAATAAATGGATAAATAAGGTACATAAATTTCTTTAATTAACCCAACAGACAACTGCTGATTGTAGCCATTAATGTATTTCCCTCTAAAAAGTTGAGGTGAAGGACAGGCATAAAACAAAGATATAAAATAATCAAATTTAACCTTGTTAAAATTGAAGCTTCGATCAGTGAGAGTGAGAGGATAAATTCCTAATTCCATAATTGAGCGCCGCCCGTAGAAAACTTTTTGAAGAGATGACAAGTCATTTCCACACTGCCGAAAATTAAAAGATAGGATACTTGCGGGTGGTCAAAAAATGTTGGCAATTAAAATGAACCACGCCCAAAAGGATACCATAACGATTTTAATTTATTGGTAACTCCAGGTGATAATTAGCGAGATAAAATTTTGCTTAGATGCATAAATGCAAGAGGCACGTGCGACACGGACGCCATTCAAATGGGAAATTGTAACTGTAATTCGTTACGCCCTACACGCGTATGCGGTTATTCCATGAATCCGTAATAATTACGATTTTATCGATCAATATTCATAGGAATTTGATTTCAAAATGCTATTACACTTTTTACAATAATATGCATACCTATTGTGGGCATTGGCTGCCGCATTTCTCAGACACGAGTGTATAATGAACCAGAAGGTGGAATTGCTTATTTTCTACTATTATATAATAAATCTATTTGTTTATATAAAATCAAGTTAATAAAAGCAAGGTCGTTGCGCCTTTTACCGACCTCAATAGTAATGTAAGGTATGTTTGTTCATTTCGTTTCATGATTTATTATATTTATTATAATTTTATCTTGCTATTTTTTGCACACATATCTAATATAAATAAATTACTATTAAAGTGCACTCACTGACAGAATTAATGACCATCGAATATCTCAACTGTAGTCAGGAAACTAAGAGGCATGCCCAGAGATGCTAGCCTCACGAAATCGTGTTACTTCCTTGCCTGGTACCCTAATACAATGCAGCTATCAAAATGGCCCGAGCCATCTGTCGGCGATTGATAGAAAACAGAAGCAGATACAATGGTTTATCAATAAGCTCAAATCCACAAGCGTATCCCGTAATTTATGCCAGTAACTTTGATTATTCAAAGGCCAGTAATAAAAATCTTCGTAATATAAAAGAATAATGTGTTCGCAAGGTTATGTAATCTGCAAAAATTCTAGAAAGAGTGAAATGAACAGGATGTGACCCAACTTTGATGCAATGAAATCATTTGTAAAGAACTGCATGGAAACAAACATATAAACAGAACGTTGCTTTCTCAACCGCCACTAAAAACAAGATGGCAAACGTAGCAAACGTTCGTGATCTACGAGACGACGCAGACGGCTTTCCACTTCTTGTGAAAAGTCGCACGGTTTCCCGCTTTCAAAAATGTGCGCATCAGCGTAAGTTGTATATACAGGCTGGAACCTCTCATTATATGGTTTATATTGTGAAGCAAAATTGTTACAAAGAGATAAAATGCTTGATAGGGGTAGTACAATAATTGACGTTACAATCGATGGTGATTTAATCGAATGATGTCAAAAATATTACAAATAGGTCACTGTACTATAGATCTCCTATCTATGTCAATATTTGAATTTAAATTAATTATTCGTAAAAGGGGATCAGCACGTAGTTGGGGAAATATTAATATCAAAACAGACTTCCGGAGAAACAACGGAGCTGTAATCGTTAAGTGAATACCAAGCAAATGTAAATAATTACAATTCGATTCGAATATGTAATCAAACGTTATATCAAGGAGTCGACGAAAAATAAAAATGATCTTTGAATTTCGGGTAATAACCCTTTGAGCTCAGAAGGGCGCGTTCTGCAAATCTGTAACAGACAACAGAAACAAACAAGTAGAAGTGTTAGTGAAACGCGCTGCAATAAAGTATTGCGAAATATCAATCCTAACGTTTGACACTGGAGGCTAATCGTATACTAAAACTGTAATTAATACTGAAAAAGAATCAATAATTCGAATAACTTTATACTAGCCAAAGGAAAATTTGGTCGACTACGACTTTCATTTACAGTCCGGGTATACTGGCAGAAAAGTGATGTTAAATTCAAGAAAAATACTTTGCGTTACACAAATTAAAATTCCATTCAAAGCATGAACAAGATAATATGAGCCGATTCTTCGGATTAAACAACAACGTAGCTAAGAATCGTAGATATAGGTCTCGGATCTAGTATCGCTAACTTCAAAAACTTGTTTACAAAGCAACGGTACTTGTACTTATAGTGTCCAAGTACAAATCGCGAAGTAGGTCAATGTTGGTAGAATGAAGTAGGTTCACTTGGCCAATATCATTTGAATTTCGCAAGTCGGTAATGTAGAAACATCCACACGTTATTATATACTAACCTTGCACGTTCACTCGCTAAAATGGTGGGTCCAAATAAAACTGCCAAATCGTCCACGTAAGGTGTCGGTAATGCGTAAATATCCAAGTCAAATGTAAAAGGTAATCCAAAAGAAATAACGACGAGAACAATAAGAAAACTATAAGCAAAAAGTGAGGAACTTAAAGGTAAAACTTGAGCGAAGGTAAAACCCTAAGAATACATACGCAATGAGAAAAATATGCGTAATAATATAACATAGAGATGCAAATCACTAATCCGTAAAAACGTTTCGATGGAACCACCATGACATCAAAGAGAAAGAGAGAACTACTTAAAAGATAAATATGGTAAAGCCAGAACACTAAGACCCTTTCAGGCAGACGCGGAGTCAGATAAGTAATGGTTACTAAGAAAAAATTTACATCTACTCAACTCGACAGCAGAAACTTCTCTACAGAGGAAAAAATACAACTACGTGCAATACTGAATTAAAGAAGAGATAGCAACGACCTCAGTCGGCGATACTAATAGCTATAGCCATAAGAAATCTACCACGAAAATAAACAACCAAGGTAATTGCAGTGATTCAATACAAGACAGTGGCGACAATTGAACCCGTCCGCCATGTTGTGGCAAAATTAAACGTATAAAAAAATAGAAACCATGTGTATAATTAACGACAGAAGGTATCATGATAATGAATTAAAAGAAATTACCACTGGAATACTTTAATAATTGAAGATATTCAATGCAGCTAAACACTGCAGTGATACTAAACTACGGTTGCTCAGACTCTTAGCTACTATGGGGAACAAATTAATGCAGGTTAAATTGCGCTCGCATACAGAAGTGGAGCCCGCGGCTTAATTTGATTCAGCACGGGAAACCTCACCAGGTCTGGACACAGGAAGGATTGACAGATTGAGCTAAAAAAAACTTGTTAAAGTTATTTTTAAGAGTGTTCTTTCTTGATTTCTTGACTAATACTCTGGTGCTTGTGACCATCAACTACATTTCCGGAAACAGACTGCACTTTCCACATTAAAGGAGGTACTCATATTGTCAACTAATAAGTTTACTACAACAATTTAAGGAAAAAATATTTATGTGATACATACGACAAAATCCAGTGGCGTATTAACCTATAAGCCGATGAAGCCCGGGCTTAGGGCGCTGGAACTTTAGGGGCGCAAAAAAGGAGCGAACAACACATTATCTAAAAACTCAAAAATGTTCATAAAAGATCAATTTATCGCAAGGTTGTGGTGCGAGACAAGATACTTAGCAGTCTAGCACGCTCATAGATGGAGACAGCATCCCCCAGCCAATCGAGTCGATTATTCACCAGTACCACTCCGATAATTGAAACCTCTTAATCACTACAGTTTTTCTAGGAGGTTGAGTTTCACCTTATTTTGAAGGTAATTAAAAAAGAAACTCATTCCCAAAAGTAATTTGAATTTTTAACCCTTTGAAGCAGATCCCTAGTGATATTGGTGGTTTCTTCGAATCATTTATTTGTTTCATACACTCGACTTTTTGCAAAGGCATTCTTTCTAGAAAATATGGCGTGTTTTGTTCGAGAATATTCCAGAATGCTCGTTTGGAAGCATTCGAAAACTTTCGAGAAATCGAATTGTGTTTCAGTCAATTCCAATTTTAACGCCGAAGTAGTAAATAGTTCGCGCTGTTATAAATTGTGTATATATTTAAGTGATAAATAATATTTTAACTGTTGTAACTCAATTCATTTCAAGAATGTCATAAATTTATTATTTATTAATTGTAAATAAATAAATTACGTAATTAAATTTACGTTACAGTTTGCTTTGTTTTCTATGTAAATGTACCTATTTTATTTTGTCTTGATAATTTTATAAAATCTTTTGGGCAGAATCCGTTAGGGCTTAGCTTAGGGCGTTGTTGACCCTTAATACGCCACTGACAAAATCCACGATTGATTTCAATCTTACTTTGCATTTTTGATTAATTTAATTACATTGCACTCGTGCAATTCTAACATGTGTCTATTGTTTCAGTTCCTGAATACGAAATAATACATTTACATCACATAGGAGAGAGAAGTATAGAAAATAATCCTAGTATTAACACGTTAGAAAATTCAATACAAGGTGAAACAAACTCGAAGTTTACAAAAACGAAGGACCAAGAAAAATTTTTCGAAAAATTTCCACACAAAGAAGCTAATATTAGATTAAAAGCTTTCGGGAAACATTTAAATTTAAGTTTAACGAAGAACTCCGGCCTTCTAAAAACTGGCGGATTGAAACTATGGTCCGTCGAACCAAATGCAACCGCCCAACATGGAATAGAATATGTGGAAATTCCAGAGGTAAGTTTTTGACAATAGTTTTCTTTTTTATCCACTGCAGACAGTGGCGAATCGCATGTTTGTGTTGTTTAGTCGATTCATTCATAATGCAAACAAAGTGCACCAATCGCGAAGGATCGGTGGTAATCTTGAAATCCTTGAACCACAGAGCGTTCTTACACTATGGCCAAAACCACGATACCGATTTACCAAACGGAGACAAGCCATATGCAACACCTGATCACATTAACCTCATTCGCTATAATCCTTTGGCAATAGTTATTGCATTTCCTTCGCGGTCCTGCGACCTTGTGACCGCTTTCTATGACTATATCATCATTATACCGAGTCATCACAACTTACACATTATAACCATTTAACCAATTTCACAGGCGTTTACACTTTTATGCTTTTTTTATATCGCTAAAAAGGTGATTAGTAAAATCTTTATAGTTTGTTAAATTTTATAACCCTGAAAATCAATTAAGTAACTAAAACGCGAGAACGGAAGAGATTTTTAAATATTAAAAATTACTTACCATATATCACATTATAATGTAAATGATTTGTTAATTACATTAGCCCTATCGCCGTAAATGGAAGGAATCGCTACCGCACTCGAATTCAAAACTTGTTTTTTTTCTGGATGATGTTTTGGTACCCACTACCTACTGATAATTATATTACCGTATTGATTTGCTTCCCGACAAGTAAATGATGTTAAATTGCTCGATGACAAATTCATTTACATAGGGACAGTTGTTCACGTGTACTGCAAATAAATTATTAGTTAGTTATATTCGTTTAAAGATGTAAATTAAGTAAATTTTATGTAATTTATTCTTTTTGGGAACTTATGTGTATTACAAGCTAATATTTCTAACTCAATACGAGTTATAAAAAAACTATTAATCATAAGTAGGTGTTTTAAAAGACTGGTTATAAATAAATTAACTACCAGCGAGTTTTAGGAAGACGTTATTAAATATGAATGAAGAAGCTAGGAAATTTTTTAAAGTTGTTGGTAGGCCTATTTATAGAACGCGCTCTATTGACAACTGGGCTGCTCATATAAACTTCAACGGAGAAACGGAATTCCAAGGTTTATGAACACACGCACGTTAGGGGAGGCAGCTGTACCATGGGAAAATGTTTTTTTGTCGTTGGATAATATAGCGACATGACCGCCTATCCGTGCCAAGCAAAATATGGTGCACTGCTTTTTCACAAGTTGGTCATGAGATATTTAGGGACAAAAAGAAAGGTGAAAAGTGCCCCAAGGTACAAACCCGCTCTGTACTATGGGGCATGGAACGCTGTTCCTTGGGACAATATGAATCCATTTAAGTGAAGGTCAATGGTGCTGGTGCATAACTTAACTTATTCGCGAAAAATCAACAAAAATTATACTAAAATTAACATTGCATGAAAATTGAACTATCCCATGTTCATAGCGCTGAAATTCGAAAGAAACAAATTTTTGCTTCGCTTGGTGGCCCCAATTGGTGCTGGAGGAGGAAGCTTGAGGACGATATTCTTTTTGTCGACAACAAAGATCTCTGCTTGTTCATCCAGTGTGAAATTGTCAGTTTTCTGCATGTTAAAAAAATCATCGTAGTCAGTGGCGCACTTCTGCATGTTCGAGGGGGGTATATATTTTTTAAATGGCAACCACTATTTTTATTATCTACATATTCTTAAAAGTGCACATCTATTATGCGGCTATATCCAAAAAAGTGTACCTACTATTTAATAATAGCTAATGAAAACTAGTAGTTAAAAAAATATGCCCCTCCATGACACTGATCACATACTAATTTAAAGTACGTAGATTGGTAACAAACTTTTTATAATTTTCCATATTATAAAACTCTTCTGTAAAATAATGTTTTGAAGATTATTTTTATTTTTCCTGTTATGTTAACATATCGGTTAATTTTTATTATTTTTGTGGCCACTTTCGTATAAATTATTGAAAAACAGTATCGTCTGTAAAGTTACGGAGATGGGCCTGTATAAATTATAACACAACATTTTTCCTTAATCGAATAAAATGTAATGCACCTGTAACAGTTTAGTTACATTTACAAGGGCCGAAGACCTCACTTGAACCTCTACGGCACTAGCAAAAATTTTTTTTGATCCACGGCTAGCTCAGTAACCAAGATGTTTTTTGCCCTTTATAACAAAAATTGATCACATGTCAAAGCTATACCCCTTGTTATTTTTTACTGTTTTAAATATACCTATGAATGCTAAACAAAATTGAAATCTAACCAAAGGATTGGTGTCACTGAAATTAAATGCCAAATTCCCAATCCATGAAGGGAAACAACCAAAATTTGTTTTGTTTAGATTCGATTCTTATCAATAAATACAATACAAAATTGTTGCATGCAAACCATTTTCACGGTTCGATTCTTTAGGAATATTAAAATTATTTCGAACCAAACCCAACCTAAAAATAATCTACCACTACTTATTTATACAAATAAAAAAAATTTATTACATAAAAGTCAGGCGAGGAAATATTGAAGTGCGAGGGCCTTTTGCGGCCGAGTACTTTACTTTCCGAGTCAGATAATGTCATTTCATTGGCGAGGTTTGTATTAAATTTTACCAGAAAACTAGAAGAATTGATTTAATGAATTTCATTTTGTAATTCGTGGTATGTTTGAAGCGGTCGATTGTGCGCAAATAATATTGTCATGTAACCTTCATTTTAATGCCTACTTTATGTCAGGAAAGTTTAGTTCCATGACAGAGGCAGACCTGATTCCTTTTCCTGCCGTCTGTCACTTTACCGGTCGCACCTGTCACGTTACCGGCCGCACCTGTCACTTTTCCGGCCGCACCTGTCACGTTGCTAAATGTTTGTAATGACTCCTGTCATAACTGACAGATTGACATTAATCAAATGTTCTACATGAAATTTTGTATTAAAAAACTATCAAATTCCTCGTGTGAAATCGAAGCGACTTAAGGGCATTTTTGGGTGACCGATCAGTATTCTATTAGCCAATTTTGACTCCACCCTCAGTAAGATCTTGTCGGTGGCTACCACATTCTCTTTGTCGGTACTCGTTTCTGACGTCCCGTTCACCCGTATTTCGCATTTTGTTGGATTTCGCAATAAACCCTCCACAAAGTAGTACACGAATTAAAAACCACGTGACAAAATTCGCAACCCCTCGAAGACGTGCGCCTTGTAAAAGGTGGTTAATTTCGCTCCTAGGAAAAAAACAAAATTCCGTCACGCAGGAGTTGTACGCGTTTACAAGATCTTTCCGACGACACCAATTTTAAAATAATAAGATCAAAAGCTGTAGAAGAAGATAGGAAAAAGCTGAAAAATCACTACGTTAGTATAACACGCTCAGGGATGGCGCCCAGATGTCGCCTACTCCCCAACATGTAGCCCCATTCCTAAAGTTGTTAATTACACCGCCCCAGTAGGTACATGTACACTCTTTTTTTCTACAAGCGTTCTTTTACGGAACCGCATTTGCCGCCAGCCAGCCAGCCAGCAGGCCAAAGTGAGATTAAAAGCTACATTTGTAGTGCATTTTTGCAAATTAGGTAGATTGTAATCTCACTTTGGCCGTCTAGCCGGCTGGCTGGACGGCTGGCAGCAAATGCGAGCACGTAGAAACACGCTTGTAGAAAGACGAGGAGTATACAGTTACCTACCGGGGCCTTGTAATTAACAAGGACGGGGCTATATGATGTGGGGTCGGCGACATCTGGGCGCCACCCTGAGCGTGGGTTTACTGACGTGATTTTTCAGTTTTTTCCTATCTTCTTCTACAGTTTTGGTCCGATTGTTTTCAAATTGGTGTTGTCGGAAAGATCTTGTAAACAGGCAAAATTAACCACCTTTTGCATGGCGCGCGTCTTCGGGGGTAGTCCCCTTTTGGTACCAGAAGTGAAAATTGAATACTATTTTGTGAGGGTTGTTAGCGAAATCCACTAAAATGCAGAATGCGGGTGAAAGGAACGTCGGAAGTGGGTTGAGACAAAGAGAATGTGGTAGCCCCCGACAAGATCTTACTAATGGAGTAGATACTGATCTGCTACACAAAAATGCCCTGAAGTCCCTTCGATCTCACACGAGGACTTAATTTTGCAAAAATGCGCTAAAAAGACGATTTCGGGAAAATCCCGTCAGTAAAATGGAACTACTTCCTCATTAGTAATGTGTCATTTTCTTGATTTTGATCTAAATTACTATGCTGTACGACATTGATATTTACCGTAGAATCAGCTAATTGTTTAGTGTTCCTTCGCAACAAATCAGCGAACCCTCGGCGACAAAAAGGTGAGAGGGTTGTGTGGGTGGGTATTGTACCACTTTCTTATTGCAGAGGGAGGTCAATAGGTTTAGGGTGGTTTCACTTGGTTCCACATTTTGGCGTTTCAACTGGAACTCTTACGTGATTCGCGCGGTCACTATTGAACTTTGAAATGCCCATTGAATGGCAGATGCCGAAATGTTTGTCTTCCTCGTATTATAGCGTGAGAATGTTTGCTATTATCTCGTGAAGGATTACATCTCTGCTTCCAGTGAAAATATTAGGGGTAATGAAAAAAGAAAACCCCTTCTTAAAATTACTAGTATATAGAACTATGTAGACCAGGCGTGGGCAACCCACGGCCCGCGGGCCAGATCCGGCCCGCCGATAGGTTTTGTCCGGCCCGCTAATATAATTCATAGTTAGGTAGTACTTCATAGGGCTCACAAGTTTCAAATTCTAATTAATTAATTAATTAATATCATTATGTTACACGTGCAGCATCTAGTGGACGTGATCCGAAGCTTCCAAAACGTTTGAAAGCCTAGTTAAAGATGCATTTATTGTTTCAGAGATACCGCCAGGTATTTTCCAGAATTTTCCTCGCGATAATACCGGGTGGGGCAATACAACGACACGTGTTTTAGGGATAAAGAATCTTAAGAGCATAAATGAAAATTTGGATACAAACTGAATATGGAGATTTATTATCCACATCTGTTAAATTTT